TATATATATATATTTGTCATTTAGGCGCATTTGTTGCGACAGCATAAGGAACGACTCGAGCAAAGGAGTCGTATATTGGAAGATCAGAATCGTCAGCTTGAAGTGCAGTTGGCACGGCTTCGTACTGTCATTTCACAGGTAGATTCAGATAGACTTTGTGCGAAATTAAATGCGTTCAATAAAAGAGCAATTTGAATTAATTTTTTGTGCAGCAAAACAACACTGGAGGCAGCGAAGAGAATGAGGGTGGACGTGATGAGCACGAGTTGAGTACAGCGTCAGGAGAAGATGAAGAAACGCCAGGCTATGATGCACATCCGAATCGGATGCATTCGTTGATCGCATCCGTGGATCAGTTGGGACGTGCAATGCATTCGTTGATTGCATCTGTGGTTAATGATGATGAACAAAACGATGAGGACGATGATGAGATATCGGTGCACTGAACTAATTATTTTCGCTTGATTACTGTCTGTTTCTAGCAGTCAACTGATCGGTTATTGTTTATTTGCTGTCTCGTTGTTATTGCGTGTAAATACTTCTTATATCTGTATGTCGTTGTTATTACAATCATTATCTCTATTTATTGTTATCACATCTTTTTATAGCAGCTGATGTACATCGTTCATTTTGATTGATCTTCTTTGCATTATCGTTCTCAACTATTCCTCGCAATGTTTTGTTTTGTGCTGTAAGCTGAATTTGGTGCCAATTATATTAGAATTAATCAGCAGCTGAAAATGACGATCATTTTTGTTGTTGTGTGATTTGCTTCTTGAACGGAAGCTTTACAGTAACATCCAAACGTACTCTCTATTCTCATCGCTGTTGGAATGATGCTCACCTTTTTCGATGGTATCAAGCGTCATCATACTTTTACTTCCTTAGGCAATGTAAGTTATCAAATCAATCTGAGAATGAATTTGAATGATATAGACGAAATTAGGAAGGCCGTTGAAACTTATTCTGGATAGATTTTGTTGATTGATACCTTTTTTGAGGGGTTGATTATGAGATTTGTGCGTGATTATTATATTAGTACGGTCGTAATCATTGGGGTTCTGCTGTTGTTGTTGTTCCATAAGCGTGTTCTTATTTGCCTTATTCGCAACTATGCAATGCTCAAACTGTGCTTACAGATGCTCAATTAAACGAGATTCATCAGTTATGCAGATTGTTCTTCATATTACATACTTTCGACTCGGAGTTTCATTATGCTATAAACCGTTTTTTGCTAACGCTTTATTCCATCGCACAACACCAATTTTCTTTACTTTACCATTTTTCTTTCTCAAACTTAATTGCTCTGCAGTCGTAATGACAACAATCGACGACTGGAATCTTTCAGTTGATGTTATTTATTATTGTTATTATTATAATTATTATTGTTATGTTCTTTGTTGAAAATCCATTTATATTTTTCTGATATTTTGGTGAACGCCTCGTTATGTTGCGTTCATTTCATTGTTTTTCAAAGTCGCAAAATCAATCTTACGCTGGTAAGGTGATGATTTTAATTGAAATGCGTTCAGAAAAAATGAACATTCAAATTGGATTGTTGATTCATCAATGACAATAAAGTCATTTCACAAAAATATTTTCGAAAGACACTTGAGACTCTTCTTAAAAGCTGTTTCAAAAATACAGTATTCAACCTAACTGTTTTTTTCTAAAACAATACAATACAAATTTTCACTGATGTTTGAAGAATGGCATCGTGTAAGTGTAAATTTTTTATTTATACAACAAAATGAATAGATAAATATGTACATCTGATGATAGTTGCTTAATTAAGATGATTATGCACAAGTGTGATTACTTTTATCATTATATTAGAAAAAGATTAGAAACATCGAATACCAGAAAGGAGAAAATGAACAATCAAAACAACACAAGAACATGATACTGTAAAGTGTTGGGCACGATATTTTTTGAATAATAGAAATTAAAATTATAGTTACGAAGAAATGGAGAGACGAAGAGGACGGGTTAGTAGAATTTGAAAATGGTGATCATGATGGGCAAAGTTGTTGGTTCAGATTGGGAGATATATCTCTTGTTGAGGAACTGAAGCATGAAATTATAAGCGCTGCTGAGCAGATAGGCGAGCAGTTAATTTAATAGCGGTAAGTGGTGATGGAAGATGGCTTTTATGAAAATGAAATAAGAATGTTTGTTGTGCATTTTGAGTAAAAGACAAAAATTAATTCTGGGACCGAGCGCTTGAGCACTAAGCACTTATATGATACTCATAAAGAGCAGTAGTAATACTGCTAATAATCAGAATAACTTTATACTACACAGATATGGACATGATAGCAGGCAGCATTATGTACTGAATATTGTTCGCCGCATTGATGATAGTTGTGAGTCGCTACAGACACGACGAATGGATCTGATTTCAGAAGCACATTCTGATGTGGTGCCATATCCATTATCAGACTGCTTATCTTCCTCGAGAACGGTTGCATCTTGTGATGAAGGGTTGTTCATGCTTGTTGGCTGCAGTGAAACGACGAGCGATAAGTCTGCTAAGCCACAACCATTTCTCGGCAGTTCCAACGAAAGCTCATCAGGTTGTCTGAATACTTTCGTTTCGTCTGGCAGTTCACAACGGCTCTCGCAGTTCGTCATTTCATATGCACTTCGAATCGCAAACAACTCAGATGTACTTGAAAGTGCCTCACCCGCACCAGCCATTGTTGATGTGGTATTCGACGTGGACGGTGTGCAGTAATGTTGCGCAACTCGAAAAGCTGATTCTCTCATCGACGTTGAATGCCGTTCAAGTTCCTGATAATCGTCACATTTAATTTTCAATTCAAATTGTCGATTCTCAAATGCCGTTTTTGTGCTCTTTACGTCCCACTACCTCATCACCCACTCAATTCAACCATACTCATAATATAAGGAATAACAACAGCAATAGATTTCAGCAATGCCTCCTCCAAAAAATCCAGTCTCACCTGCTCCAATTTTTTAATATGTATAATATGATTGGCACACTCCAGTTCTTTGGTTCTTAGATCGTCCATAAGTTTTTTCTCAACCAAATCGCGTAATTCACGATCCCTCAGCCGATCTTGACGTTCTCGTTTGTATAAATCTTTATAATAGCTTTTACGATCATTTGCTACGTGAAGTTCCATTCTCAATTCCTTTAAAATTTGAAGTGAATATTGCCTTTGGCAGTCAATAATGAAATTTTTAATCATCAATTCGAAGTCAATTGTTCTTTTTTCAGTTTCATCTATTCGAAGGAGTTTAAAAACGAAAGCTTATCAGTTTAAAAATCGCATAATGAAAGCTATTGTGTGGGAAGCGAACGTTTTCAAATCGATGCGTAAAACGTTAAATTTTACTCGAATGAGATGTTCTGAACTCCACGTATCCACGTCGGAATCATCCAGCTCTCGGTCGTAAATCCGACGATTATTTGGCGACGGATCACAGCTACCATACTCTGACGTTTGATGATGGCGTCGTGATGTGTTGATGCTACTGCCGTTACCTAACTCGTTTCTACGAACTGACTGAAATTTCATACGCAACTTTAGAAACAATGCTCATGCCGAATTCACTTTCATGGTGAATGAAACAATTTATCGACAAATATCTGTAGTTCAAGAATGAAAGTGACTATATGGTATTTCGCATGTGATCTCTTCAAAACGAACAAACAATCGTCTTCTTTAAAAAGAACAAACGGACACTTGAAAATTTTATTTTTTTGCAGCCTACGTATTTGTATTGATAAATTTGAAGCAATTAGATCAAATAAACACATCGTAGATAATAAGTAATAGCAATGCAACTGATTGATGAGAAAGAGATGTATATACCTTGATCGGTCTGGAGTGCGAGCTGAATGGAACGGAACGGTTGTGGCTGTGATTTGACGATTGTCTGTGATGATAACCATCCACTGCAGCACAACACGAGTGTGTGCCAGCACGGTAAATGGTTTTGTTGTTGTGATGTGATGAAGTGATCTGATGATGCTGATGATATGCAATTGCTAGAGCTGATATCTCCTCATCTTCACCGTTCCTTGTCAATTTCTCGCTCCGTCCTCCTGAACTCATCCGAAAACGCCGTCGACTCCCTTCTTCCTGCAAAATTATTTGTAATTCACACATAATATCAATGTGCTAATGCAGCCATTGCTCTACAATACTCATTCAGCAAATAACTACTTGGGACAGTAAGTGGAAGAGATCATGGGACGACTTGCCCCTCCGATGTGATAATGTTGAATACTTCCACTAAGTTTTTTGCTATATCTTATCGACTGGAATTGCACAAATACCCTCTTTTCGGAAGTATTTTCTGTGAATTCCGTTTCTTTAATCACTAGATATCCAATAGGTATGCAATTATTACTGAATTGCTCTTTTTTGAATTCCAAAAAGTAATGGGTCTAAAAATCAAGTATGTAGCAGTCAAGCAGAGTGAACCGGCAATTCAACGACTGAAACAAATTATATTCGAAGCATTCGCAGAGCAAATTCAACAGAAAAATACTGAATGAATTTTAATAAAATTGCGCACAATTTCAATCGGATTATTGTTTTCGTTTTCTTTATTTGATACACGCTTCGTACGGAAGAAATTTTTTAGCATTCTGATTGTCCACTTTGCTAAAGCAAGTTGAATGTAAATCTGAAGATAAGATTAATTGAGAACGAACACTCAAATTAGTTTCCTTTCACACACATACGTACAGGACACTGTTGCTGATTTATCATTGATAGGTAACTGGCGCAATCCTAATATTTCGACGACAGAGTATGCAATGATATAGAAACAACTATCTTTACAAATATAAGAGTTCGATACGACTGCATGTTGCTGAAATATCAAAGACAGAATAAATGAAATGACCGAATCGAATCGCTTTGTTAGAAGATAAATGCGCGACCGAAGCGAATGGCCACAAGAAGAAGACGTTAGTTAAACATTCGTTTAGCCTAGAACTAGCCATATGGTTTAATTTGTTCGTTCCATCTTCTTTTAAAAGCATCATCATAGCTCAAAAAAGTCAGGCAGGCATCATTATGTAGACAGACTGTTGAATCTAACAGAGTAAAAATGTTAACAAGTTGAACGAATGCAATAAAAATAGCACGATGAATTTTATTTGAGGTGAATGCGAAGATGTAGGTATATCGTAAACAATAATTTTAACAACGTAACATCAACAACATCCTTCATTCACAACTCAACGTAAATACGAATTGAAAATCAACGAAATAAATATCTTTCTTTTTCTTTCGACGTACATTTAATTTCACGGTTATGTGAAACGTACAGCACATCAAGAGAACAGAACAAATTTTGATGTGAATACCGCAACACATCAAAGACAAGCGAAATGCGGCATCTCAAAGACATACACCTCTTTGAAGTCAGCGGCGATTGGCCCCTAGAAAATGATCATTTTAACGACGCTCTCTCCTCTCGTTCACTCGTACCGACCGACGGACATTTCTATCGCGCATCATCAATCTCGCACACTTGAAAAGAACGACAGCATAGATGAGTGAAAATTATCACAATTTACTTCATTTATGAATATATTTATTCATCGTCAGAATGAATGAAAAACAGTTAATGAAAAGTAAGGAAACACTGAATAACGATAGATGGAAACATGAATAAATAAATAAGTATAGACATATACACAGCTCTTATCTACTTACCTCAGTCATCATCCTCATAGAAACACTAATGTATTTATACAATCAAGTGGTTTGAATGCAAATTTCGAATCAAAAATCAAGTTAAATAGTAACTGAGAGCCGAAATGTGAGTCTGAATTTCAATTCAAAAAGAAACGAGCTTTCAAAAACGCAAATACCATGCACGTACATGTACTTTAGATAATGTGGTTGGTTTACATCGCTGAACCCATCCATGATGGCGTTTCAGTTATACCTTTAACTGAAATGCAAGCAACGATTCAGATAGTTTTTTTTTTCAAACTGTACGTTTTGCTTCCACTTTTTTGGCGTTTATAAAGAAGTATCGACAGTCAGAGTGAAGAAATGTGACGATTTGTTTGACTTGGGTTTAGTCTCAAGCTGAGGCTCGCACCGAACAATCATCTATTTGTTTAATGGACACTTCACTGGTGTAGGATAGAACTACCTATATGTTTAATGTTGTCCTAGCTCCGTAATGGAAGAACGACTTATTTGAAGCGTGAGCAGTTGGTGTTAAGTTGAATAAATGAAGTTAAAATACTGGATAGAACAATTCATGAAGTGAATGGCGATGACAGCTGCACAAAAATGTGCCACGAATGAATGGTGAATGAACCAATCAAGCATAGTGTCTCGACCGATTGACCAAATTATTAAATATACCACCTTAGGCGCTCCACTAATGTGTATACTTTGATGAGGGAGAAGAAACCCTTGAAAAACATGAAAAGAGAAGAGAGATACCGTTCTTCTTGAGTATTCGCATGTGCTCTTGATCATATCCATCCTACTGTTGAATTCCGATTCCTTTGAAATGTCATTGCGACTTGTTTATTCGATATTCACGATGATTTCTGAGGAACATATCCACCTCATCGTATCCATACTTACGTATTTTATGTTCGATCCTTTGTAGTAGCCAGTACTAGAGAGAGTTAGGAATCTCAAGATTACCTTAACGAAATATAGAGGAAAAAGGAGAGGGAGAGAATTTTCAGCGCAAACCACTAAGAGATGGGTAGAGAGCGAAGCTAGTCTAAATTAAATTCATAGAGAGTCGCCCGCTCAGTAATGCTTTTTCGTAATTATAAAACATAATTGGTTAGTTGTCGGTGGGTAGGTAGGTCATTACCGATACTCAACAAATGGAGGAGGAATCAATAGAAACATCCTCTCAAATGAGGATATTTACTCGTTCGATAAAAATTTCAGTGAGTAATCAAACACTTCATTTGGACGCGTACATTCAAAAAGCACTCGAAAAATTTCAAAAGGAATAATCGCTTGAAATGTTGGAACGAAGAATGACAGTGATTTCACAGTTTGAGAACGGAGCCGATCAAGAGGACGATTAAAGACTGCTCACTTCACCGCCCTCAAATCTAACGTTTCCCGCCACATCATGAACACAAACACTTTCTGAGCGGTCATCACAGACTACTGCTCGCTGAATACCATTGATGACGGTCATCAACCACCGTTTGCATATAATATTTAATCCAAAACTTTCATCACGAGTGTATTTAAGGTCCTCCAGATTAGAAATTCTCACAATGCATTGTTCGAAGAGCATTTTGTGGTGCATTATAACATCAAGGAACGTAGCCGTTTGTTTGATTCCATTAAAAACAAATAATTTCACAATAAACTAACAAAGCCTAAGTTAGAATATCTCAAACTTGAACGAAGCGTTTTCCTTTGCCTTGAACATCAATAATTGCACTTTTACTGATCGACAGTCGTCTTCGATTCTTCAGAAATGGGCTATAAAAACAACGAGTGTTGTGTTCTTATAGTGCTAAACAGTGTGCTGATAATAATGAAAAATATTCCAAGTGAACTTTAAAACAATCATACAAAACAGAACTCGGACAGAAAAAGCTGAATAAATTTTTACTTTTTTATTTTCATTTTCTAGAAAACAAAACAAGATTGTAAACTGTCACAAAACTATGATATTGGCGAACAGCGCTTAATTCCACGGATACAGCTAAACTTCCGCACTCAACTTAGGTATCTGATCGTGAGTCAATTCATTAAACCGCCAAACTCTTGACGTTTGCTTTCCACCTTGTCGACATTCACTTTCATGAGAATATGTGAAGTATCATTTCGAAAGTATCCTCAGGTTTTATCGAGACATTTTTTTCACACTACCAGTTAGAACAGATTTTCTGGTATCCAAAAAGCGTATTTGTTGTCAACGAGTAATACTTAATTCCCCATATACAGCTAAATTTCTAAAGGTTTTTTACAAAGGGCTTTCATTATGTCTTTTTGTGGTTTTGCTGTCATTTGCAAGGATTTCAACCGTGAATGTAGACGAAATCAGTTCGTAATGTACGTCGCGTCACGTGTTTGCTTGGTCCTCGGTAAGTTGCAATGAGATTTTGAGTGTGAATTTTTCAGTGCTTCAAAGGCTTTTTCAAACCTGATAAGTGTATTCAAACTTTTACAGGTGCAGCTTTTCTCTTATTTCACAAGCTTTTGATATCGCCGAACAGAAGAGAAATTAGAAAAGTATTTAAATTGTCAGACGATAATGCTTGCTTCCAAAGATTAAAAACAAATTTACAGAAGCATTTCTGTAACTGAGCCGTTCAGTTTTGCCGCCTATGTCTCGCTTTGCATTTGCTCTTTCTGTCGATCTTCTATAAATGTGCATCTTTAGAAATTCGCAGCGAATGAATTCAATGGCTGACTTTTGAATTCTGTGATGAAAGTTTTAAAATATTCATCTCGATAATGTCCTCACCTATCAGTAAAGAACCAAAACACTTCACTAAAATTTTCTATTTCGCATTCAATATTGGAAATCTGCAAAACTGAAAATTGATCTCGAACCCGATCCGGTTCGAGATCAATTTTCAGTTTTGCAGGTTTCCAATATTGCATTTCATGCTCCTGACCAATCCAGAATTCAATTTTAGAAGGCAAACATTGAGTATGTTGATATTCATTTTGAGCGAAACCAGCTCATTCTGAAAGGCGTTTGAACGACAAGATAAACTCGCTCTACCAGTACTTAGGAGTACTGTTATGATTTTGCAGGCCATTTTTCAAATCGAATAACTTCCCTTACTTTCAAATTAGCCCCGCAAATTTTTGGAAGTACCGTATAGAGGAGAATCTGTTTAACAGGGGAAGTTGTCGAGTCGTTTGCCTGCATAGATATTTTCAAATTATGTTTCACTAGACATTTGACTTTCTTGTCGATCATCTGTTCATGCATAACTCAAGGATTTCCAATTTGTACTTCTATGCAATTTTTAATGCTACTAACCTCGACGAATACCCGAATTGCAAAACAGCGGCAATATGGAAAGGTATTGTCCTCGTATTAGTGTAATGCGAGAAATGCAGAGTTCTGTAAACTCCGTCCCCGATAATTTTCAACATGACCGCATTTTCGGGTGCTCAACTGCAAATTTCCTACCCGACATTTTTTTCTTTACCGCAACACACTAATTCGTATTGCAGACTTTAGTAGTAGAACATTGCATGTTTCGACGATGCTCTTTAAAGGCTCAATCCAATGACACGCTCGTTTTTGATATGAAATGCTCATTTTTACGATATATTCAACCAAATCCCGGCACTGCAACTACGGAAGCAAATATTAAAAATGTTATGTTTTGTGGATAAACTCAGAAATGATTCATACATAATAAACTTGATTGTCAGAACACAATTTAGGAAGTGGTTCACATGAATTACACGTGAATGAATGCATTACGCGCAATAGTCACGTGACGACCAAGGACGCACGAACTGACCCGCGTACGCTTTTATGGAGATAATCGAGCTGTGCTGGATATGATTTGGTTTCGGTTGAAGAAATGAATTGGTGGTGGATGAAGATCATTTCAGTGTATGATTTCATCATGAAATTTTAGTGCATACTCTTAGAATGCTTTCATTTTGACAATTGATTAATTATAGTGTAACGATTATTTAATTTACATATATGTCATTTGATTTATTTACTCAGATCGACTTCGGTTTTAGGCTTAAGACGTTGATTAATATTGGCTTTATTGAACGTCTTGAGGTCATTCGTTATCAGAAAGATGTTCGCCGTCTAGTTGGCACATCATTTATTGCAAGTTCGATTGAACACGAACGACCCAACGACAATTTCTTCTACGATCTGACAGTTTCTTCCTTAGGCAGTACCAATGTATGAAAATTAGCGATTTCAATTTAACAATTATCTCCAAGAGCACCGTGCTACCAAGGAAATATCTTAATGAGCAGCTACCAACGGTTCATCTAAAACGGTCTGTATCTCATCCTTGTTGATTTGTTTATGGATTCATTGACTGCTTTATCTTCACTACATATGCACACAACAGCACTCAGCTACACCCATAAGACCTACACTTCGCACAATCATATAAATGCGTTATGATCAGTGATGTTTCTGTACTGTACTTTTGTTCTGTTCCACTCTTCATCTGTGTTGTTCTTTTCTATTCCGGACGTCCTTCTGCTTGAAAACTGTTTTATTCTGCTCTGCCCTTGAATCATTCTGTTTTATTCTATTCCTGTGGCTGGAAAGAGGATGGCCTATGCACCGAATCGGCCGCTTTTTCGCGTTGAGGATTGGAAAAAATGATGGTTCCAGGCTCTAAAACGGTATAAATGCGTTATGATTATGAAAAATTATGAAAAAAGAGGCACCCTGACTTTCAATCTTCGGATGGAAACTCGCTATGACGAGTGGGAATTGGTCTTATTGGTTCTGGATTTATGGTTTTTCAACCAATGTTTATTACGGCTCCCCCAATTTCAATGTTTTCATCTTGCTTAGCCAGAAGAAAAATGCCCTGAACTGAGAAGTACCGATTTTTTGACTCTGTATATGCTTTTTCGCCATCACTAGTAAGCCGAACAGAACCGGGAACTCGGTTGGAGCGCAGTCCGTCCCTAAACCGACGCACAACTTCCCACAGTGATCAATCCAGAATGAAGTGATTTGCAGGATTTGATCGGAGCGAAATCGATCTCGACGGTCCTCGAGGTCGAGGACACCAAGACCTTGTGAGTGCTCGGGGGTCCCCGAGGGTAAGGGATAAGGTCGGAGCCCCTCAAAAACTCGAAAATGTTCGAGGACTCCCTAGTCTCAAAGGTCTTGGACCCAACCGTTGGGGTGGATCCAACCTCGGCAGCCCCAAGGTCATGACCCCTAAAGTTAGGGGATACAGTCGGGATCTCCGAGGTCGGATCCCCGAGGGTAGGGAACATCACTAGTTATGATCAATTATAGAACGTTGTTTTCAATTCCATGTTATCGTTCGCCTTCGCATCTTCTTTTGTTGCTTTGCAAAATCCTCGTGTACCTTCTACTAAGTTATACCCATTAATTACAAATCAATTGTTATCATACACACGGTTGTTACAGTGATGTTTCTTATGTTTCTTATGGCAAACTTTTCTATTCAACTCTATTGTTTTGTTCTATTCTGGACGTCCTTCTGCTTAAATGTTTGCAATAGAACAACTTTAGAATTTCAACTGAAATTGATGTCGGTTTACAATTTGTTTATCAACCGAAACAGAAAAGCGAAGTTTCAGTGAAGTAATGCAGCGTTCGTCTTCAACAACAGCATTAAAAACGATTACGTATAATCAAGGCAGTAATGGAGCAACATATGGAGTGTGCCATTTATGTGCACGTTCTGCGTATCTTATCAACAGTGAACAAGCCACGAAAAAACGAAAACTCAAAATTAACAATGGGTGAAGATTTATTTATATCCAGTAAAGTGTTTATTCTCTATTCATTGCGTAGCAGAAAAGATGAATTTCGCTCTTTGATTGGTGACTTTTTTCATCAAATATAACAAATCATAATTATGCAGGAAACTTTTTACGGCACAGTTTGTACCATGTTCTTACCATGCACATCGCTTCACTTAACAAACATAATATTTGTCCCAATCCCAAAAAACGTTCATTATGGTCGAGAGTCCGAATCGATTCACGATCTCTTTACTTGCCTACAAATTAGTTTCCGGTTCTCCGTAGTAAAAGATAATTTGGTTGCCTTGACTGGTTTTTGACTGAACAGATTTTATCAAGATTAGAAATGTCTTTCTTCTTTATTTAGTAATTTCGGGAGATGCGTTCCGTGATCAAGACATGCAAACTTGATTGAAAAAGTCAAAATACATCACACCTCTTCCAGTAATATTTTTTGTATTATTTTTCAACTTTTCAGACTTTATCTATCCATCATCGTTGGCAACAGTCTTGATTTAACGCTTCAAACCAGCCGTGAAAGGTTTTCCTTTTTCACTGAGCATAAATTTCAATTTTAATCATTCGAATTTCATAAGCCTTGATGACTTGCTTCATCATATAGTATAAGAAACTGATTATATTTAGGAGATGAAAAAGATCGAAGATTCGCGTAGAGCACTTGCCTTGCTTAACCCTAAATTTCATTTTGATTGCACATATTTCTTTGTGATTGTTTCAAAGTAATCACCCTTCAGTTTCGAAGGCTTTTTACTGATCAACTCTATTTTTGAAGTTTTGATCCGTTTTTAGGCTTGAATACAAAAAAGATTACGAAAAATTCAAACTTCGAGTCACTTCGATATTGTTGGTTATACTTACAGTTGCACTTCTTATTCCATCAAGGTTTGTCTTTTCGTAAATATGCCTATAACAGTTTAACGATTATCGTTATTAGTAAAATGTTCTCACTGTTTTGCAAGAATGAATAAACGATTAAATTTCAGACCATTTGACGCAATCTGTAATTTCCTCTTGGTTTGGTACTATTGCACACTGACGATTCGTGAGAGTATTCTCAAACTTAATGGTTCAAGGTTTCCTTTGAACTTTTTTTTTAGTGAGTGGCAACGATCAGCCAATCATCTTTCTCGAAATCGTTTGTTTTGTTAGGTAATTCGCAGCCCCAGGATAGTAAACACCAACTGGTAATCTTCGTACGTTAACTACTGACTAAATACAGCCCAAACTTCATCGCTAATATTCCTGTTGTTTGATCGGTCAAATGATTGAACGAACAGTATTTCGTAACTTTCAGACGATATCTGATTTTAAATTTATGCTATACTCCACCTTCATTGAAAGTTTCGATAATTTTAATGTATCAAAAGATTTTTGGAACATGGCTGTTCACTCTGTGAATGTATGAAAGCAACTTTGTCAGTTAATTGACTAGAATACATTTAATTCAATTTAAGTAAGAAATATAATATTGAATAGAGAATGGAAATCTTGTGTGCTACATGAATGCTGATTGATCAACTAGATTTGTTGACATTCTGTATAACGGCAAAATTTCGTCTTGTTTGATGTTGTCGAAGAAGATAGCATCACTGTAATTGCAGAATGCAGTTTTGGTGGGTAGCTCATCATTACTTGGCTTGTGCAATCGCTGGAGTTGCGTTAACATGGCCGGATGATGCTTGTTATAAGGTTTTTATCCACTATCATTTGAACAAAAATGGTTCCATATGAATGAATGTTACAAAGTTTGTACGTTGAAGGAATAATCTGACAATGAGGCAGAAAAACACTCATTGCTTGACGCTTGTGAAGGTGCAATAAAAAACTACCACCATATCTGGCAAAAAAAAACAACTTTTCAGATAATTGATCATTTAGTCTTCTTCAGAAAATCCGTTTACTCCAGACTGTTTGACTACTGCATATGCATGAGTGCATAAGACGAAAACGTTTAAACAATACTCAGATTAGTTAGGAAGCATTCAAAACAGAATTTTCTAGGAATTTCGAGTGCAGTCAATTTTATTCACGATGTGCATAGCACTTGTTCAACAAGTTCAGTATCAATACCAGAGTGGATGTTTAAGACGTTTGAATTCACTTGGACAAGGTGATGAAATGGATGTCACATTAGGTAAATCGAATCACTATTTCGTGACAACTAAACCAACATTATTGCTTAAATTATTATAAAAATGCTCAAAGATCATAGTCTCACTATTTATTTTTGCATTAGACAGATAGAAACTCATTGATTCTCTCTTGAAGAAACGTTCAAAAAATTTCAGAGGGTTTTGCAAGCTGGATGTTCAAAGGTCTAACATTTTTATTACCAATACTCTTTATAGTATATATGTTTGAATTTTATAATTCATACACTCTTTATAAACTCTGGGCAACAACGGACTATGATGCATCATGGCAGGTATTGCATTTTGTAATATTATTCTTTTGAAATGGTCGGTGATTTTTGTGTCTAATTTATTGAATATATCTCGCAGTGTGGTTATTACTAGTGATGGCATTCGAACGACCAGAATCCGATCAAATTCATATTTTGTGAACATCAAAATTCTCGCCGAAATTCGTCGGATTTTAGCGATTGAACTTCGGTAATTATTACTTCAGGTGCTCGCCCTTTCGGTTATATTCTTCGTAATAGCACTCGGCAATACAGTGGTGGTGTCAATGGTTATAATTCGAAAATTACGTGATTCATGTGATGATCATGAACTGTATGAAAAACTTAAATCAAAGTATCCATCGATGCAGAAACTTACTTAAATATGCAAATATCATTATGTACAATCGCATTTTGATTTATTAATAAAATATTGTCAGATTTTTCAGTGCTGTTGACTGTGAACTGTTTGACATGAAAATTTACTAATTGCGTTCGAACATTCTTTAGGTGTCTTCATTGTGGATTCGAGTATTATAATATTACATCGTTTGTACAGTTCGGTGAAATTGCTATCATTGTATTGTACAAAGATTTTATTGTTAATTTTATGTGAATTAAAATTGTGGGGAAAAGATGATTAAGAAGGAAGTAGTATAAATTTAAGAGTGATGTGTAAGGGAAATGAGACAGATGGAGGGAGGGAGTACAAGTTTCGGCCCTTAGTCGTTGACATGTTCTCCCAGGCTGTGCACGGGCCATCGTCAGAACGATATGCATAACCTTATTTAGAAATCAAGGAGATGCAAGGCATGACTGTTGATTGTAAAAGGAATGGGCAAGAAGCGATACAGTTTAGAAAAAAGAGAGAGAAGTAAAAAATGAATTTAGATGGAAAAAATCTGTGTTTGTGTGGAATGTAAGGAAGTATTTTATAGAAGGGAGGTAAAATTAAAAAATAAGGTGTTAATGGCGAAGTGTAGTGGCGAAAAAAAATTAAGAAAAAAAAGTTCAAATTTATGACAAATGTGTACCATGTGGTCATTTTGTTTCGGAATTCTATGGCGAAAATTATTTTCCATACTTATGAATTGGATAACTGATTTTTTGTTTTTGATTGCCGAGGTTCACATCGTTTGGTGGTACCATTTAGAAAAGTGAACGGTACTTGCGACACAAATTGATTTGATGATTCGAGACGCGGTCTTTTTGATGCGGACACGGATGATACTCGTTTTTGCGATTACAGATTTAAATAATGCAGGACTCAAATTTGGACTCAGCTATGTCACTGGGCAAACCTGAGAATACAGTTAGCTTGAAGATGTTGAAATAGTGCACACAATCTTCCTATCCAAGCATATCTCAGTCTCATTGGAGATCGTCAGAGAATTGGTATTAATATATTACGGAAAGTCAGATACACTTACATAGCGACGCAACAAATTGTCGGGAATTCATCTTGCAAATCAACCTTTTCATAAACGAAGCGAACTTCTTGTTCTTGTAAAATTGCAATTGTTTCATGTATAGCGGGGTGAAGAGGAACACAGAATAAAACGGGCAATAGAGAATATGAACTGCTAGGAATACAGAGAGAATGAGAAGGCCGGTTAGTGAACTTTATTTCGTTCACATAACCAGAATCTTTTAGTCAGTCATTGGTTCTCCTAGAACGGAAATTTGTTGAAAATCACAAGAATTGTGAACGTAGAAGAGCTATGTTTGGGCTGTTTTGCTCTGTTCAATTTTCGCCATACCTCCAGCAAACGTAGCATATAATGTGCACAATTTGCCAGCAGCATAATTCTTAAAGATGATGTTAATCTGCCGAACATTGCCACTTAAAAATGTTGTTGTTGCGCGAAGCTGAGCACACATGCAATCTGAACTGAGCGAAACAAGCTTGCATTCACAACAGATCAAACAACAAATCTCGTCAGTGCAGCGAGCTCATCCAGCCGAAAATATGGCGCTAGAAACTGTTTGATTCGATAGACACCGGTTATTACATTTTGCAGTTGGTTTCTTCTATAAACTCAGCCAAAGGTTGATCTAAACTTTGAAAGACAGTACTGAAAACATTCACAGTGATTATATGGAAGTATGTTCAACCTCAGACGGGGTTAGAGAGTCTGAAGAATTCGATGGTGGAGAGAAGCAGGTATGCTTCCGTGCAAACAAATACGCTTCCGTTAGATTGGAAACCGTGATCATGACACTGCTAACCTTTTGTGCACATTGATTAACACACATATAATGTATTGATATGAGCGCGGCTCAGCTACGTCATATGATTTCAGAAAATGTTCAAATATTACTTGAAGACAACATATATTTTTCTGAAACTAGAGAATCTGGAGATCCAACGGCGGACAAAAACAAGCATTTTCCGTGCAAACTTGAGAGTATCGTTAGATTGGAAATGTTTTCTTCGAGTAATATTTGATGTTTTTTTTTTGAACTTCCATCGAATATGGGTATTTTTTGAATGAAAATTATACAGACCGATGTAAAGCTGAGACGATGAAATGACATAACAGCTGGCACGCATGATGAAAACAAGGTTAGCCGAGTATGAATAACTCAAAACAAAAAAAATTTCACTGAAAAGATGGAAATCACCCCAGCGATGCGACTTGTTTGGTGCTTAGTTACTGATTGTCAATTGAATCACCGCCGAGCAAGCTTAGCTGTGCTATTGATGCGCTAATGCCTCTTGGTTCTCTTTTCTTTTCATTCAAGCATTTCTAGATGATCATTTGTTCTTTATTGACTACTCATAACAATTCTGCTTTGTGAAATATTCTAATATTCAACTAATTTTATCATTTAATATTTAATTAACTAAGTGAATTTTGTATGCATCCAGTTGATAACTACTGTTTTATCAATTCATAAAATGAATGTGTTTTTATGTTGCATATTTTTTAAAGAAATACTCTGACTGATCACTGCAACCAGCATTCGAGAATGGATCTTGCAAAATTTATGGAACAGGTTGGTGAAAGAAGAGACACCGAACTGATCGTAATTGTTTTGAAAGAACAAGTAGAATCACTCTTGGTTGTTATTAGTTGTCATGATAAGATCTTTCTTTCATTGTGTTTGCCCCCATTATTCGATGGTGATAGTGTAATATCACTTTTTTCAGAAAGAAAAAATTCGTAAAGCACAAGCATTATATGAGCCATGGATGGATAATAAGAAAGAGGTGCAACAAAACGATGAAATATCGCCATCTCCACCAACACAATCAGCAAATCCAAAGCATCGCAGTGAATTCGTTTTTCATAATGAATACGTCAAAACAGTGACGAACACACCCAATTCTGTATGTCGTTTAGACTCTATTAGAAATGACAACAGCCGCATTACTGCTGGTGTGCATCAAGAATGAAGCAAAGTGTTGTTCCGTCATCAAAAAAACAGTTGCTGATGAACGAAATCGATTCCTCCTTCAGTTGCTCGAGTGCTAGCATAAATGATGTATTTAAGGAACAGGTTGGCGAAGAGACACTAAATTGTTTTGCAACTTTACAGACCGTCACATCAGTACGATCTACGATGCCGCTATCGAGAAATAGTTCCGTGTCAATTTACCTTCCACCATCCGAAACTCCACATCAACCAACTCCATTACCGATTGATGAGCGACGTAAATGTTACTGTTTTGCATGATTTCATTCTATTTTTGTTGCTACATTAAAACCACAATTCAGTGCACTGCTCTGCATTGAAAACGAATGAACCCCTGACTGGCAGCGTCCCGAGCCACTGTAATGTGTTGTTGATTGCTTGCAGAATTAATGTAATCATTGTAGCATTTTACCGCAACAATGGAAAACAAAATCGACAGAACAAAAATACTCCCCTTGTGTCTCATACCAAAAAGTTACCCAATCGAGGTATGCTGATGCAACTAATTTCCACACTTCTCTGTAAAAATATTATTAACACATAAGTATAATACATTACTTATGCTAGCACTCGGAGCTGTCTTGTACGATTATCGTTCTCCTTGGAAGAGCGTTTCTATCGAATGCGCTAAAACAAAATTACATCAGTTGACAATCATCAGGTTCTCCATATTCATGCATCCACTGCACATTAATAAGCAGAAATCTTGACTGTGAAAACCATTCCAAAGGAGTAGCATTTGGTCAAATTGTACCATTAAGTCGAAGTTTCTTTTCAGATCGCCGTTCAGTGTCAGCTGAGGCTGATACAAGAAAACAGCAAGTTGAGGTCAGTTCAACGTAAGCCTAGTGATGCTTTTGTGTAATTAACCCACCTCCCAGCGTACAGCTCTTCCGTCATATCGGGGATGCATTGCGTTTTTAACATAAGCAAGACTCGGCGAAAATTTCAATTAAGCCTCACACAAGCCTCAACCGACTCGTATATTTAAACATCAGCTGATGATTGAGCTCATGGTAAACATCAGTACGATCATGTTGATCTAAATGAGAATTTTATATGAAGCTCTAGCTGAAAAAGTTGGAACATTTACTCATATCTAGTGATGTTTCTATTCCAGTTAAACTATTCTATTCCTGTTCTATTCCATGGAATAGAATAGAACAGTTCGGAAATGAGGAAAGAACAGTTTGGAATAGAATAGAGGCTTTTTCGAGCGCAGAAGAATAGAATAGAACAGTTCTCAACGGAATCTGACTATTCCTTAAACTGTTCCAAGTGAAGACCGCAATGAGATAAATTACCATTGTTATATTATTGATATTATTATTGTTATTATTATTATTATTATATCTATTATTATTATTAATTATTATTACTGTTCTTATTATCATTATTTATTATTATTATTTATTTATTAAACATTTTCTCTAGTAACTGAATGCTAGTAGCTGTTGTAGATTCCAATCCACAAGAAAACATTATATTCGATATCACAAGGGAGAGGCGAAAGGCCATCAGTGAGAGATGAAACAGCTCATCAAGGCCAAGTTATCGCAGTTAATTCTCAAAACTGCTAAAGACTGTTTGTGTGGAATTCCCTCCAGAAACAACTAAAGATGCAACTGTGTTTTCGAATGAACACCCTACTTTCAAATGTTGGTCGTACTCTAAACTCTAGGAGCAATCCATCACAGAAATTGTTCACATTTTACGCCTCCAATAAAATTTATGCTTGGAGGATTTGAGTCCGATTGAACGACTGAATTCATTCCGAACTCATCAGTACGAGAAACCGTGCTCAGTTTCTGACCGAACTGTTGGGTCGAAACGAGAATCCTCTGTTCTTCAGTGATGCTGGTTACCAGAGTTCGAAACCCTCCGTTTTCTTCCAATCATCACGATCAAAAGCTGTCAACTGCCTACGTAGACAAGCTTCTCCCACTCGAAATAATCTCCACTTTGCACTGAAAACGCCGAAAAACCACGTTTCCAACCCTAATTACCAGAAGTTTTATCGTCTCACAACATACACACTTTTCTGACTGACGCAACAGAATAGAATAGTTTAGAACAGTATAGCACAGTTTAAGGGGGCAGAATAGAATAGAATAGGTCTCAAATGAGGATGTGATGCTCGCAATGAACAATGCAGAAAATTCTATCGTAATTCTCAGTACTTAACTCACCGATCAATTGCGAGTAGAGCTGGATATAACGTCGAGGGTAGAGTGATGATGCACAAAGAGATAATTTGCATATATGTAGAGTGCAATAATCCATTTTTTATATCACCAAAACTTAGCGTTATTCTCCGAATGAATGTATTCCTTTCACTTGTTTTGAAACGCCCTGTATCCGATGGTACTAAAAAGTGTAGATTTGGCATAAAAGTTGAGGAAACACTAACTGAGGAGATCCTTTTAGTCTTAACAGTGGCATGTATGGCCATGTTAGATCAGATACGACGAATAGAATGTACTTGAAATAACGTCGTTACATTTGCCACTCTGCTTTCAGACAGAAAAACTGCTGATCGAAAGTGGGTATGCAGAGTTCTATGCATGGGTGTTGAATGGAGACGAAACTGATTTGACAACTGCAAATATTCTCAGACTATTGTTCGGGAAAGTGACGATGCAAGAAAGTGAAGTGAGTCAACCTTAAAGACCTAAAGCATGTGGTGTTTTGATGGTTCAATGCTGGTGGTACTTATGCGAATATGCATTCACAATATGGCGACAACCCGAGTGATTACTTGATAAAGTTTACTTCAATAATTCATCATGTTTAGCACATTTTCTCTCAACGAACTTCACCAGTACCCTATTTACGATGCTATTACAACTATGGTGAAACTGTATGTGAGGTAATTTTTCATAGTCCAATAATCTATCCGTTAAATCTGAGTGTTATCACTGTGAGTTTCACCATTAGCTGGTGTTCTTCAGCTACACAAACGTGATTCAGTTCAAAGTGCGGCAAGTAATATCTTTTTGGTAAATTCGTTTAGCTTCAACCAAATATTGTTTGCTTATCAGCCAATTGCACAGAAATATATGTTGCATATTACTGTGCATGAAGAACTCGATAGTCATTTAAAATCAATTCCACTGTTTAGAACAGTGGCTCTCACGATCAGAAGCTGCATTACGCCTTTCGACGATCCACCCGCCCCGCTACAAGAACTTACTATTTTCGCGAATAATGTAACCTTGGAAGACGGTTGAAAACAACAACATGCACAAGCATCTCGTTCATAACTGTAAAGGGAATAATTTTAAATCTAGAATCCCACAACACATCCACCACAGCCTAATGCACATCGGCACAAACCAGATACTTATAACACAATTGAGCATTTATTTAATTCAAAAATATTCCTTTATGAGTCGAAAATCCCATTATATGAAGTAATTAAAAAACTTACCAAAACTTTGGTAATTTACCAAAAAAGCAATCAAATAATAGATGAATTTAGAAAGACTCGCTCATCTCGCCCTAAACCAATGATCTTTTCTGTCGCACCAAAGAGCTCAGTCAATTCCTACTACTTATCAGACGAGGATAGTCAACATACTAAAAAGCGTACGAAACACTTGTAACTACCTTAAACTGACTTTTGTTCAGGCCTAGACAAACTAAACATACCCAGGATATAAAACGAAGAAGGTTGCAAACTGCGTTTACATACACAAGTGAAAAAACACCATCGCAACGTCTTTCCACCATAACATAACAACTGCACGGAATATTAGTTTGCCTGCATTCCCCCCTCCCCCCACACCCACAAATTACTCCCGGAGCATATCAACTCCTCTAATAGAACCACTTGAACATAATAAAAATATGCAGTGATGGTCTCATGGTCCCATGATTAACATCGAATGTACCCTTTGGCATTTGCCTGCTGCACATTCCGTGATACACTGACTTTATTGGCCATTTCCATTGCATTAGTTTGTTTCGCAGAAAATTGTAAAATGTGCTCGACTCAATGCCAACTATAAACCACACACAGAGCGATGGATCTCGATGTTGGAAAAAGTTTGTCCTTAACATTTTATACGGCAATTATGTGAGAAAACACCTTATGCTTCAATACGAACATGGAATTCAACAAATATTCATAGGGAGTACGTGATTTTGAGGCTAAAAATTAGCGTCATAATCGATTAATTAGCTGCGGAAATGTAATGTGGGAAAGACAAACAACGGGTGGTAAACCGGTCCTTGAGATAATAATAATAAGAGAGATTGATATGGTAATGATTTGATTTCTGCTTAGTATACGATAAAAAATTAACGCAATAAACAAAAGATGAAAACTTGATGTCGACAGAATGTGAAACTAAAAACCAAAATATAAATGTATCCGTGAATGAGAGGTAGGTAATTCGATAAGCCAGAACAGAACAGTATGATCAAAAGATAAAAATTAATTAGCGCATTCATAAATCCAACATCAGTATACCAGCAAACTGCGATTAAAAAACAACAACAGTCCAATTCCACTGAATGACTCGTGAAATACAGAAGTGCAACACAAGCGAAGATAATTCACTGTGAGTAAGCAACAAGTTCACTGCACTTGATATCACTGTCATATGACCTTAACAGAATAACTAATAAATACGATAATAAAACAATAGTGCGATTCCACTTTAACCAGATGAGAAACATAATGATTAAAGATCAGTGAGAAATGTGACGCACAGTGAATAAAGCGAACGATAAAATAAAGAGTAGAGATGCGATATTTTCATGATATAAAGCAAAGTTGTGAGAACGATTCACAATCGCATAAAAGGAAACATGTTTCACATCGCAGCAATCATACGTGACAGCTGTTCAACACCACATCCACTCTTAGCCGCTTTAATGAGTTCATGCAAACGTGACAATTTCTTGGATGGACATTCACTGAGTAATTGCGAAGCACTGAATGCGTTTCGAATCACCTAAAATAAATTTTTTTTTTTGAAAACAAGAATCGAATGGAGACTATGAAGCCGAATCAAATTCTTCGTTCACTCCTCTATAATACACACATTAAAATTTGATCCTTTCAGAGCATAAAAATCATCAATCAAATGGTGAAACCATTTTTCAAATAATTACCTCAGGTTTGATACCAGATACTTTGGCCGCGAAAAAGCCATACGATTTGGGGCATATACCATCAGATAGCGTATACAAAAAGGTGACATTCTCAAGCGTTGGATCCACCTCGTTTTCGTTATCCACTACGCATGCCTTCAGTTTAACATTATGCATATGCAATTACATATCAACAAGATGGATTATGAATTAAAGATTGAACAAGTAACATAAATGATAAAGAAATAAACCATATGAGCCAATTTGATATTGGGTATACTACGAACTGCACTACATAAATTGTGGTAATGCGTTGAAAAGAATGTTCGACACTGCACTCGTTCAGCAAGATCACGTAACACTGCATACGCTATCGCTGTTCCATCATACGTGCTCAAATTAGATGACAATCAAGTGCTTAATCATAACTTCACGTTTGAATTTCACCAACCACTCATAATTGTTATATTTGAATTCTAATCAAACGTTTATGCAATGCAAAATTACATTCGAAAATATCGACTAAGCGAAAAAACGAATACAACATTCATCATACGAATGAATTCATTTGTTTCAGTGCAACATCCAATAATCGTTCAGCAAAAAAAAATCAATAAAAATGTAAGTATGTATGAAGCGTAAATGACCAACCTTGTACCTCTTCCCAGCTCATCCATTACAACCAATGAATGTGCACTCGCATTGTTCAACACAATCTTTGTTTCATTCAGTTCCACATAAAATGTTGATTGTCCTCAAAAAGGACGAATAATCAACATTCATTCAAAACACATTTGTATATCTGACGTAACTTAGCAAAACTCATTCAAAGTTGAAACAAATTAAAGCAAAAACGTTGTAAACATTTGATCCATTTATAGAGCCGAACGTTGACGGAAACACAATTGTCTAACAGAATGAGTAGGTGGTGTTTCTGCATAAAGAAGCACCTCGTACCTGCATAAATACGATCGTTTGCGCCGATTCGAGTGAAAATTCGATCCACTGGTGAAAGTCGCATTCTCTTTGCGGGCACAAAACTCCCCTGAATTGAATTCCTTCTCATTCAACAACTGATAATCATTCTTAAATCTACTTAACGCATCATCAAAGTGCGAAACAACAACGTTTCAAACTTAGTGCCACATATAACACACTCAAAAAAGATCATCCACATTTTAAACAATAAACATTCGTTTTTTTTTTTCTTTAATCAATACTTTTATTATATATTTAAACCACAGAGCATCAATCGTTATCAAATGAAAAAGAAAACAGCGCGAGAATCATTGCGAGTAAATTATTGCACGAACAAGTGCGGTCACTAACAATTTGAGCAAGTACGACGAGTACTGCTACTTGACGCATCAATGTCGATTTGCCTCCCATATTCGGTCCGGTAAGAAGCATTGTTAGTGGATGATCACCACCCAATAGAGTATCATTAGGAATATAACTGATATTTGATTCTTCTTCGCGTGCGGCACACATCTTTGCAGCCAAACATGGATGATAACCCGCTTGAATATCCAATAATGACTAAAACGAAATATTTGACGGCTGATACATGCATGGAGTAAGGTGTTGTTGAGATGTTATTTTTCAGAATCGTTGAATTTAATCTTGGACCACTTCAGCATAATTGACATTTGCACACAATCCCGGCAAGTTTCGTTAACCTTCACAATAAATACAGTTGAAAAATGCATAATTAGGCATTTAAATGACCTTATTTGAATCATAAACGAATTCTGGTCGACACATTTCCAACCCTGAACTTTGTGAATAACGAGCCAACGAAATTAACACATCAAAAATGGCCACACGTTCTACAACTGAAGTCCATCTAGCTGCCCTGTGAAAACAGCTTCAAGTTCATCGCACATCAAACACATAAACAATACGCATAACACATTTACGGCTTATTGAAAACGAATGTTGTACTAAATGCTAATTTCAGAGCAGAAATAAGATACTTACCGTGAATCGAAATCGGCAAAAACTCGCCGCATGAGATCATGACGAATCACATCGCGTTTTGTTTCGGCTGCAACCAGTATCTCAAAAAGTCTTATCGATTCATCGGTGACCATACGTTTATAACCCTGAAATCATTTCTTTACATCAATCATCGATAACATTTGCACAACTATAGATGTTAAGCGATTGCAAAGTATACTTTACGCCAGCCATCGGCAACCCCGAGCCCACGGGCCAAAATTGGCCCGTCTTCAATAATATTTGGCCCGCCAGATGAAATTGAGAATTTGTTTTGTTGGCCCACTAGTCAGTTGCTTGGAAAAATTTTGGCCCAAGGCAAAATTTTTTTGCCGGTTGCTGTTCTACAATGAACAAAAACAATGGAATTTGAGAAAGTAAGAAAAGTAACATGACTCGAACCTTCCTTGAAGATTTCAACTCGAATTCATTGCCGAGATTCTTAGCAATCGACTCGGGTATTTCGATTTGATAACGCGATCTACCAGTGCCAAAATACTGGATGTTCTTAAACATGAATTTTAAGAAACTAAGAAGTAAAAGTTATTCATTGACATAAATTTAGTATTTCAACGGATACACAATTCTAGCCCAATCTAAAGATTTATCGTCGTCAATAGGCCTGAATGATAAATAACTAACTGTACAACCAAGACGTTTTCTGATGGTGAGTAGATAAACGTCGAGATTACGTTTGCAGTCGTTAACATTTTCGATCACTTCATCATACTCACGATCCACACCTTTCTCGGGAACGATCATTGCTTCATCTCGTGCTTTTTTATGATCGAATGCTTCCTTCAAATGTTTCATAACAAATCAATAAACAACAAGTTTTCGAGCTTAATTATTTGGTAATGATTAGTGAATTAATTTGAGCGGTTGAACTTTGTTACAATGATAAAACAGAGAAATGAAAATAGAATGAACTGCTCGTCATGAAAAATAAGTCAAAACACGTAGCAAATTAAAATAATCAGCAGGATGAAACAAACTCGAAAGTGATTAAGATCACTAGAAATATCTGGAAAAGACGTTCCAAAGCATCTTTCCACCAGACTCGAACTAAATTTAGAACATAAAAGAAATCACTGAAACAGACAAAGTGAAACGACTTGTCTCTTTGATTTTTTTTTNTTTTTTTTTGTGATCAATAAATAAGTTATTCAAATCATTTTTTGAGGCACATGGTTGAGAAATGACTCCCGAAAGTGTCGCCATTAAAATTGGAAGCATACCAGTTGAGATCATCAGCAACGATGTTCTGATATAAAAAATAAAAAAAAAAAAAACAGGATTTGCCACAATCTTTTTGTTTACATTAACAAAAAAAGATGCAAAAAGATAAACGATACCACGGCTGCGTATCCGACTGCAATCCACGATAAAGCTTCACCAGCTCAAAGGCCTGTTCAAAACCCGACAGTGCTGCTAATAAATCCCCAATTTTTCGACGATTATAACGCAACGGTTCAAACATAATCGCTCGACCGTCAGGATGTTGAGTTGAACGATATTTCAAACCGAGTGTGTGAATCCTGCAATACATTGTTTCAACTGATTTAAAATTTTGCTGCTGCTGCTTCGAGCGAACTTCAAAATAAAAATGACAAAACAAATTTCATTGATCAATGATAAGTTACACACATGTGCACAATCTTTTGGAAGCATAAGAACGAAATTGGAATAAGTTAAGAGTATAATTTATGCGAGCTGAACAGTACTTTTGAATGATTCGCTCCAGATCAGGTATCTTGCGTAATATGTCGGTTGCTTTGAGCACAAAGGCTTTAATATGTGAACTCATCAACCATTCGATTGCGTCTTGTCTTGAACGAAGAACATCAGCATCACACGATGGCGTACATACCCACTGCCGCAGAAGACGTTTACCTTAATTACGAAAGGAGAGCTCTTGATGTTTATTGATAATTTGAAAAGTGCGATCAAATAAACGAATAATTACCAAATGGTGTCATGCATTTATTGATCGTATTGTATAGCGAATATTTGGATGAAGTCGGATCTCGTAATCCAGTATTTCGAACACTATCCAAAGGAGGTACAATATTCAAATTGTAAAGAGAAACGCCATCCAGCACAAGTCGTCGGCCACGCCAGTAATCTTCTTTTGTTTCCGCGTTCTGGCAAATATTATAATAAAAACGATTTTCATCATTCATACGCTTCAAAAAATCAAATGATATGCTTCAACAGCGATTGATGGAAACGATAATAGCAATCCAAAAGTACCTGCGAGTCCTTTGATCCTTGACGACTCTCAAGTGATGGTGGAATATATTTGTCAAACTGGTGCATCGTAATCATGTCCACATCGATAAGACTTCTCTTTAGATACCTATCATAAAACAGCATCGTATAATAGTTATCAAATTGATCAACAACGATAATCAGATCAATAAGGAAGAAAACTATCGAAGAATAATACCATAAGACTGCACCCAAAGCAGCCATAGCTTCTCGAAATTGAGGTGCACATTGTGGGTTCAACGCATTCGCATCCACTAACATATCACGAACTACTTGTGGCCATTCACGCACCGAATCACCCAAGTATAATTTATTTGCCAACTGAAGTTCACTTGTATAGCGATGAAGTGAACCAGTGATGAGTAAAAAAAGCATTTATTTTAAAAAATTATTTTCAATTTCATTTGTTGCAATGCAACAAAGTTGAATAAAATAATGAACTAGCGTATAAGAACACCAACCATTTTGAGTGCACAATCAGCTTCCGGGAATTCTTTATTCGGAATTAACGCTTCTTTAATAACAGCACTCGCAACACTGTTCAACAACGATTGAGTGGCTGATGAAATACGACCGCGTTGATATAGTATCTACGATTGCACCTATTTCAATAAAGAAATCATCTCAAAGAGAATACGCCTAGAGTGAGCAACAGATGAATGCTGCTTATTTATCGAATGAACATCATCAATCACATCGTTGCATCAACTAAATAATGTTCATTCTCAACACCAACTCATTACCTTATTAAAATTCATCACGGAATATGCAATAAGATATGAATGCACATTTACCTGTGAGGGCTGATAATGTGCAAAGAGCGTTCTTATCGACGACCGATTACTGTCATCAACAAATTCACCAATCTGAAAGAATTTCTGCTCATCGATCCTCGTTAGCAAATCAGTATGCAGATGCGTTAAATGTATGTGGTGAATGATCAAATAGTCTGGAATTTAACAGAACTTTCACTGAAAAGCCAATTTCAAAAAACGTGTTTGAGTTGCAGATACCACTTACACAATATCAGTAACAATAAAAATCACACTAACATAAAAATGGCCAACTGATGTATCGATAAAGCAAACGCCATATGTAGTTGATTCATTTGGTGAAATCTAAAAAAGAGATCAATACTGCGAACTCATCAAGAAGAAAATCTGTGAACAGAAATGTACAAAGTAATGATAGAAACTTCAAATTTAACTCCGAAAACGACACGTTCAAAAGCAGCAGTGCACGGTATGCAAACAAAAGTACTTACAATACTCCACGTCACATTCAAACTGATAAATCTTCTAAACTGTAAGTACATTTCAAACTGATGATTTGTCAGTGAATTGATCCAGTGATTTCGAGTTTTCAAAGATACATAAATTATATCATAACCGTATTGAATTCAAACGGAATGATCAGTAAAAGATACATCATTCGACTGATTTTGAAGTAGCATTCAATACTGAAGGGTGTTCCAAATGTTTCACAGAATGCTCGAGAAATAATTACCAACCTTCTCAACAAAAGCTAATAAATGACGTGCTGTAGATTCAATAGCATCAAGAGCACAATCACCATCGCATGAGTCCAATACGCCATATGTGCGCGTACCAGCCGATGTTATTCGACAGATTTCACTGTAATAATGAAATAGATTAATGATGATTGCTTCGCCATGAGAGAGAGCGACGGTCATTATTTTAACATTAAACTCACCGTCTAACAACCTTTTCTCGATTCATTTCCACCTTGTTACGTTCTTCCAATTGGCTCGGTGTTTCAGTCTGTTCAACACGTGCCACTTTATAGCCTCGACTTACCAACTGATCCGCAAAACGACCGTATGCCACTTCAGGAAAACCACAGTGTGCAAATTTTCCCTGGACAAAACCACTATCGATCTTAGCTACATTCAACAAATATGGCTCTTTTCTGAACGGTACGTAAAATATAACTTAATTAACAACTCACTCTCATATAAGTTAAATTAAGATTTTCAACACCAATAACAGCATCCATATGATACATTTCATAAAATTTGCCAACTTTGAAGAAGAGTACTGTATCAAAATAGGCCGATTTCGCTAACCACCATTGACGATGTCCTAGAAGATTGATCTGTACTGGATGGTAAATTTGAAATTGTATGGCTGGACAGTCAATAAGAAAAATATCAAAGATAAGTGATTTTTGCTGGAAAAGAAACGATCGAAGCTACGGTTGGGGCGTAAAGAATATGCGAACAGCGATACGAAATACAAACAGACAGATACCAGGAGTTTGTTGCTTGAGAAAAGCATCGGGAACATACAAAGTCCTTGGGCAATAATCTGGATCGGTGGTACGTCGTCCATCCGCATCGCGTATTTTATTCGGCTGCAGAAATTCAAAATCCAGATGCGGAAAACGTTCACTCTCACAATCATCAATAATAGCCTTCTTTGTTTCCTTCTTTGACACGTCATTTGACTGGTGTTCATTCACTTGATAAATGGTTCGGTCGAGTGTAGATGTTGAAACGTTTGACACATCCTTCAAGTATCATTCATATGAGCACAAGCACAATAACAAATAATGACGACAATCATTAATGAATTATTGTGAAATCGAAACCAACCATGTCTTCTTCATTGGCACGGAAAGAGTCGATGAAAGACTGAGCAATACCGCTGACAGTATAACGCGTTGTTGCACCTCTCGCTGCTGAACGCGGTGTGGATGTACGACGGTCAGAATTCTGCAACGAAATGCTTTCGTTGATACGACAGCCCACATACATATTGAAGAGCAATTTAAACTAAGAGCTGCTTTATTGTATTTTTGAAACTCGCATAAACTACAACGATTATCTTCATTAAGATTAATTTAAAGTCAAATCGAAGCAACCCTAAAAAGAGTGGGAGTTCGAGGCTCTGGCTGACGGGAGTCTTGTGGAGAGGACATACGAACAGTTTCCGTTTGATTTGCATTTCGACCGTCTGCAGTCGCATCATTATCGGACTCTGAATCAGATGAGAGCACGACACGACGACGTTTCGGAGTGGTGCTACTCTTTATCGGTGAACATGCAAGATCTTCTTCATCAGCGCATCGCTTAGGTGTGTCAATTCCATCTGAAACTATCGTTGGTACATGTTTCAACACAAATACAACTGCCTCCACAAATATCATTCATCGTCACCGAATATGCGATAAAATTTGAAATGCTCGCTGAATTTATTACACGCAGCTCGTTATCGTTTCAAGATGCCGTTCAACACATTCTCAGTCTCACTGCTCATTGATCATCTCTGCAGCTTACGACGTCTTACAAATCAGTGCTAGAAATTAAAAAATTTCGAATGCTACACTGAACCTTTTTGCAATTTTTTTGACCACTTTTGAGCTAGACCTTTGCTCATATCATCCACGAGAACGTTTTCTCTTGGTTTCATCTGAAACGAAAATAATGAAAACGGTGATCACTTTTACTGCTCGACACAATTTGAAGTTTTACTTCAAGGTTCAAAACTGAGTCTAGATGCATGTATTCAAAAGTGTGTGCAAACTCAAGCAAACAAAATATTTCAGTTATTGTGAGAGCACTGAAATCCAGCGATTAGAGAGACACATCAACAACCACTCAATTCTTTTAAAATCAAATGAAGAAACAAACCACTTCCGGGGGTACTGTTGGACGTGATGATGAGCCATCTTCCTTAGCACCAACATTAGCTTTTGAGAAGAACGAAAATAGCGATGTCTGCTTTCGATTAGATGACATCCTTTTTCTCTGTGGATTACATAACAACTTTAGAACACATCTTATACGCACTCAAATATACGACACGTATCGAATAAGACTTTAAATAACAATGCTAACATGGAACAAATCGGACTTAATTTGGTTGCAATTATGCTAAAGAATGGTTCATCCACAGCTCACGATGCAAAAAAGCAAAAAATGTATTCCTCAGACTCATTCGATCGCTGTCAAACTCAGAAGAGTGGTACAGATTGGGAATTGTGATAGTTCGAGAACGTTTTTCAAAAATTACTACCCTTGAAACACTGTTTGAAATGCATCAAAAACAACAAACACGCCAAATACCACCCACCTCGAAAGAAAGAAACTAGAATATCTAGCGATAATCATCACAGTGACATAAATTGATGCCGCACAACCATTTTACCTACCACATCGTTTCAATGCATATTTCTGTTCATATATGGGTTGGGTTAGGAAGCCCTGAGCAACTACGAAGTTGGCGGAGTCCCCGAGCCTGATTTCGCCTTTTTTACGAACTTAGTGTACTCATTTTTTTCTATTCATTCATAGTTGCTTTTTCTGTTTACTTCTCGTGTTTTCAAATAACTTTTGGTTAAAATTTGATAGTGAATATATCCGAAATCTCACACTACCTTGAATGAGTAGAAAAAAATGTATTGTTGCTTATTATTGTATGATCTCAAGCATTATGATTTTGCAACCTCTCAGAGCTATGGTGTTCACCTAAGACAAACCGAAAATGGTTGCATCCTCGCCATGAACACGCATTTTAACCTTTTGAATTGCAGTTGACAAATCTAATAAAGCGACAAGCGACAATTGTCAGCACGTCATTTAGCCAACCTGTAGTCCGTCACACAAACTTCCTTTGGCTTCGCTTTTTGAGCAGTGCGAACGCACGATCACCATTTTGTGTGTTTAATATAAAAAGCTTATTACTGAGGCTTAGCCTCAACCTAAGCGTAGCCTCAGCTTAAGCCTAAGCGTAGCCCCAGCCTCAGCATGAACCTCAGTAATACACATTAGGCTGAGGCTTAGCCTCTGTCTGAGCATAGCCTCAACTTTAGTCTGAGCGTGAGGCTGAGGCTACGCTTGCTCACCATATTGTGTGTGTGGTGTAAAACGCGTATTACTGAGGCTTAGCCTCAACCTACGCCTCAGTAATACGTACACAAGCACAGAAGGGTCCTGACCAGGCAGCTCTCTACGCCAACTGATACAGATGATTTGCATAAGCATTCTTGAAGCAGATCAACTGAGAAAATTCGATGCTATGATTGGCGTAGACTCTAGCAATCTACTTTATAGATTTATTTCACTTTTGTCTTTATCACTTTCACGATTTCAGTCTCTTCTTTCATATAGTTTCATTTAAAATAAGCACACATTTGGTTTTGTCTCTTCTAATGATTATCAGTGCTATT